TCTCAGTATACCCGAAGGTGAAAGTGGAACTAGGTCTTGGTACTGGTTTCAAAGAAAATTTGAAGCTGCCTAAATCAGTCTCCAATACTTTGCGTTTTTTCGGTCCATCCTAATACATTCATGTCATCCTCCGCTAAAATTTCATTCCTAACTCCGACGAATAAGTAGCAGTTTTACGACCGCAACAAATGCTGACATTACTATGTATGCTCGACAGTAGTAACTGGACGGTTTGTATTAAGGCAAGTCCTGCCAAACTGCCTACTTTTTTATTCATTTTCATTTTTGTTTAGCTGTCATACAAAGCCGTCGTTTCAACTAACCAAGAAGCTAATATTAAAAAGTTTGTTGCTCAATAATTTTCATGTTGAGACAAACATTTTTTTCAGGAAGTGAAAAACAATTGGGGTAAGGATATTTCGAAATTGAGAATTATGTAGGAGTGATAGTTAATCGTAAGAGAAACTTTCTGAAATCTCTCAATATAATACTGACTACATGATTGAGAAAATTGCCACAATATTTGCGAACCTTGGTGGCTACCTAGTTTGTCTTTTGCTTAAATCATCTTTCAAGAGACCTAGACACAGAAATTCGTACATATAATACTGACCAAGTAAATGTAGAAAATTGTCTCTTATGACGGAGAATATTGATATAATGTGCTTCCCTTTTTTACTTGTCATTCACATACTAGCCCTCCAATGTAAATCGCAGCGGAAATTTTCTAATTATGCTTACTTCTGTTATATCCCCAAAAAACCGCAAAACAAAAATTCACACGAGTCGCCGAGGACAGCAAACAGTTCAATAGACCTTCATATGGCTTAAGCAAAATGGCTAGGTAGAAATGGTCACATACAACACATTTAAGTTTTAACCTATTCTCTAAATGTCAATGGCTTTTTGGTGTTCGGAGTTCCGCTATTCCCCTACTAAATTTTTTGGCTACCTAGAACGTTGAAAAAAAAAGAGAATACAAATCGTTGAACAAATAAAACCAACACAAAAATTCGTAGTAATTTCTAGTTACAATTACTGAAATTGCAATGCATACAATTTTATGAAGTTCATTTTAATGGAATATTTCCATGGGCAAAGCAGTCGGGTTTTATTTTTTGCATAATCTAACAGCACACGGTAAACTTTTATGAACGCTAAATGGATGTGGGGTGGTGGTTTTATTTGTGGTTTTAAAATGAAAAACAACGAACGAATTGAAAATACTTTGGATTACTAATTCGGTATTCGTGTTGAGTGAATTTTTGTCTTAATTGAAATTAAAATTAGCAATTTTAAAATATAAGTATTTAAAATATATATATTGTTTATTAATTGGATTTATGTCCTCAGTTTGCGATTTAAAATCGGGAATCGTATATGCAATCCCAAATGAACAAAATACTATGCCAATATTATTTTCCTATCAACAATAATAAAACAAATAATGAAATTAAACGAAACTGGTTGTCTTCTTTGGCTTATCAGCTGTTTTCGGCATTAATGTGCTCCCAAAAATATGCACACTAATTATGATGACTGTTGTACACGAGATCCAACCAACTGCTAAATTTAAAGGAACGATCAACAAACAACAACTGTTCATTGCATTTTTAGCTTAAAGGTTATTTTTACATTCGCCTAAAAATAAGCACTCTGAATAAAAAATAAAGAAAAGCCATTAGTGTATATTTTGAACATAAACGCCCAAAAGTATGCACCACGGTTATTGTACCAAACTGTGACAACCAAGACCGAAGTCTACTAAAACTAACTATCAAAATGTTAAGGAAAATAAATCATATAAGACTTAAATCACAGATTACAGACATTAATGTTGGGATGTACGGCTGGCACCATCAAAATTCAGGAAATGGGGTGCAATCTTTATACGGGACTGTATGAAAGCATAGACATACATATATTGAATATTTTCTGTGAAAAATTTATATAACCACCAATATAAAGAGACAATGCCCAAAATGGACTTGGAATAAAAGTTTTGTTTTTATACCCTACACAACTATGTTGTCAGGATATTATAGCTTTGTGCAGCCCCAAGAATTTGTAAAGCTGCGAAATATTGGACCCACCTTTAAGTATACCGATCGTCATATCTCGACTAGCTGAATCGATCTAGACATGTGTGTCCGTCCGTCTGTCCATTATAAATTGTAAACACGATACAGGCCACAGTTATGGACCAATCTTCACGAAATTTTGCATGTAGGATATAGGGGATGAAATGGATCGGTTTTTCTGGTCGCTCCAGAGGCCGCAATTATGGGCCAAACATCGCGAATTTTTGCAAGGAGAAGGGGATCGGGCCAAATAATAAGCATGCATGTTTTGATAAAGATCGGTCAATATTTAGCGGGTCAAATGGACCCTGACTTTTGTGTGAGAAATGACAACATTTGTATTCTATAGCGTATATATTTACTCCTGAAGGATATGGACCCAAGAAATTGATAGTATATCCTAGAGGATTGATTTACCTTTAAATTGATACGGATCTGTTCAGATATGGGAGTTATGCATAATAAGGTAAATGCGACTATGTGCATAGTATTGCTATTACTCCATTAGAAGACGGAAAATGTCGCGCTGATCGCTTTGAAATTTTAAAGGAAGTTCCGATTATGGTCAAGGACGACGCCTATAGTTTTCGGTGAAGTTGAGATTTCATTCAGGGGTGCAATGAACGGAAAACTTTTATTTTGTCAGATTTTCTAGTCGCTCTAGAGGCAATTATAATATGCAGAACATCGTTTATTTTACAAGGTGAAAAGGATGTGACCAATGAAAGATGATGATCGGTAAATATTCCGAGGGTCAAATCAACAAAAAACCTAAAGTGACAGTTTTTTATTTTATGGCGTACAAATTCAGTTGAATAAAAAATGGAAAATATGCCAGGGTTAGAAAATGGAGCTGTTGACCTATAATCGATCAAGTGGGTGCAAATATCACGAAATATTGTCCAGTTTCAGAATATAGAACCGCAGAAAGTTAGAGTTCCGTGGTAGTTGTGTAGGGTATCAGTATAGTCGATGTTTCTTACTCTGCAACAACGCAGAGTTCCGAATACTTCTGGGACATTAAAAAATATATATTATGGGTACAGGAGATTTATATTAAGACTAAGTCAAAGCAGGGACCTTTTTTTAAAGCTTCTTTAAGCCTTTTCTTTTTCAAATATAAAGTAGGCTGAAAGAAAAAAAAATTAAAACATCACTATATTGAATAGAGAAAAGTCTATATAACTCTCTATGGGATAGCAAAAACTATACGCCTCTGAATGGGATAGAGTATATGCCTCTGCTTGGGATAGAAAACAAACTATAGCTCTGTATGTGATAGATACAGAAAATCTACGCACCTGTATAGGATCCACGCCTTAGTAGGAAATAGAAAAGCTTAAGGTCTTCTTATAGATGAAATGGAGGTCTTATTATAGAAGAGCTTAAGGTCTTCTTATAGAAGAACTTAAAGTCTAAAACATCTACGCCTCCGTAGAAGTTATAGAAAATATTATTTAAAACTTCTACGCATCCATACGCGCTCTACGAATTCGTAAAAAACGACGACTCTTTAGGAGTTTAAGTGATTTTTTAGTCTACGCTTTTCTGCGATCTAAAATGAACTTTAACAAAATCTATGGCTATGTACAAAAGGTTCTCCGAAACTTGGGAATTTGAAATTATATTTTGCATAGACTGTACCAAAGTCCTCCTCAAAAAATATATTCATAAAATAATCGATCATAATAATCTTATAAATCGAAGCTTTGAAAAAAACCGAGATCCTTTGAAAATCATTATGTAATAAATCGCCGCTTCGGAGAATTAAAAAAACGAGTAAAATATTTGTAAATTCATGCTAAGGAGAAATCCCTAAATATATTATTTAAAAATCTATGATTTTATAATTTTACTGAAGCATTTATTTGCGTCGATCAATGAAATATAAAAACTACACGCCTTGTTGATCTCCTGAAAAAATAGTCTTCAACAAATTAATGTTTTTGATGACCCCAGATTTTTCTTAACTTCCCTTCTATTGTTGATATCAAAATGCTGATGATCCTTAAAAAAATATTTTTTAAAAAATCTACATTTATAAAAGGAATAATTGAAAATTTTTATTAAAAATCTTTGGAATTTCTTTAAAACATATTCTTTGAAAAATAAAAGTTTTTTTGTCCTTTGAAAACAAAAATATATTGAAAATTCTTAAATTGCAGATTTTTAAATAATTTTTTCAAATTTTATTACAAAAATTCATATTCATGCTGGGTGTTCGTTGTAAACTAAATGGACATGGTAGCGTATACATGCTGACACAACGTATACGTCATGAAAGTTTGAGCACTTGCAATGTGTATATTTTACTTGGGATATAGTCTTACAACGTGACATTTGAAACCAGACGAGACTTCTATAGTAATTTGGCATTCCATGATATTTAACAAAAATGTCTATTTCATATTGTCTTGCCAGCTGTAGGTGTGTAGGCATATACTAAATCGTTTTAGGTTGAAAATGTTAATATATCAGTCTTTTATTTTTATTGAAGTAAACTAAATCTTTATTGGCTTATAATTTGTCCAAAAATTTAAAACATTCTGTTGTCAATTTTTTTAGTTTCAATGGGCTTTCCTTTCGGTTTTGACACTTAATTATTGTAATTACAACAATTAGGCCATCTCCAATATGACGATTTTCTTCCGCTCAACATCTATCCAATCATTCAAATCGAGAGTGATAAATTCACTCTTCTTCTTGTTTTAGGTTTTAAATAACTATAATTATTTTAAGAACTTTCCCCCGAAAAACTAAATATGACGTTAACAAAATATGAATAGCTACCATGTGTGTTTCTATAATTTATAAAACATGTGTGTGGGTGTGTTTGAAAAATACGGAAGTTTTTTTTTCTTCTTCGTCTCTTTTGGTATTTTTTATGATTTTTGTTAAATGCCCTTGACGTGGCCTTACCTTAACTGGAGTATATGTCAAAGTGGATCCTTGTGCTGAGTGTGCTCGAAAACCACTTTGTGGCATATCAAAGGTTTCAGCTGTATTATTAAATGACCACTTGAAATTTTCTGGCGGTGGAAATGCATCAACCTCACATAGAATTTCAGCGGCTTCGTTGCGGGCAACACCATAGATTTTCTTTTGATCGGCGCGGCAAATTGGTTTATCTGTAATGGAAAATAAATTGAGGATGACCATGAGAATTTAGAAATATGTGCTATCGATTATTAAAATAGAGAGACATAAAGGTGCTGTGGGCTAGATGAGTAAGTAAATTGTTAAAATGTATCTTTTTATTTATCGAATATTTTAGAATATATTCTAAGGTTTTCATTTTAACTTAATTTTAATTTTATTTCAGTTTATTTTAATTTAATAATTACATTTAATTTTGGGTCATCTTTTGTATTCACATTTAATTTAATAGTAATTTATTTTAATTTTAATTCACTTTAATCGGTATATCTTTGAATACTATCTCTGGTCAACTGATTTCATAATTTATTTATATTCCCAAATTTATTTTGTTGAAGGATACAAAATGTTATCCTTCCATCTTATTTCCTACCAATTTAAATTCCTTAAATAATCAAATAATTCAACGAGAAAAATGGAATAAAGTAAAAAAACAACAGCAAGAAATTCTTTGTCCAAGCATAACAACAAGAATTGACCCAATATTTTCGATTCAAATAAAATAAGAAACAAGGAACAAGGAAAAACATTCAACAACAGGATTATAAAAATTCTTTGCACATCAAGAACAACAACAATTTCCAAAAAAAGAAAAGAAAAAACTGCCCTTGCAATAGGACACGTTTAAGACAACTTATGGCAAAACTGTGACCAAGAAAACACCAAAACTACCGAAGATGAACGGAAGAAATACTACCAGCAAAACAAATGTTTTTCTGTGGGTGTGAAGACACCCAAGAAGAATTGAAAAATAAAAAAAACATCCCAAAACAACGTCCAAGATAACTTAAACTTATTCACACCACGACAACATTTATATAAAAAACTAAATGGAAAACTTTACGGCCATTGCACATTTATTGACACCAGCAACAACAACAGCGGAAACCTCAACAAGGACAATACAAAACAAAAAATAAATACAAGAGTTGGACAAATAAAATGTGTCAAAATAAAATCAAGCAGTCAAAAAAAAAAACGAAAGACGAAGAAATAAATAAAAAGGACTAACGGAACGGGACATGAATAAAATAGTGTAGGCCACAATAACACGAATTGAAAATGATGCTTGCAAGACGACATCAACAACAGTATTCTTGGGAATTTCATGTTAACTTCTTTAAAAGAAAAATCTAGGAAAATGTCGAAGGTACAAAAACATTTGTAATCAGCCACTGGAACTACTGTAAACAACGAAAGACCCTTGATTTAGAAAGCCGAAAGAAGGAAGTGAGCCAAAATTTTCAGAGTATCTATAGAAGATACTGATTATTTCCTATAGTCAATGGTGACTGCAAATGTAAGATCCGTGATTGAGGATTTTCATCTATAAAAGGCAGTCTGTTCCTCATAGCCAGAGAGTTTTCTACCAGTATCGTATTAAAAAACCAACAAGTGAAAAAGCGTTAAGTTCGGCCGGAACGAACTTTGGATACCCTCCACCATAGATATACTGACATGTACTTGAAATGAAAATATTGGTAACATACCAAAAATTGGACCTATACAGACATTTCTAAAAACGGATAATGTAAACCATAATACAAATTTCAGAAATTTTTAATCGATATTTATACCCTCAGCCTTAGGGCTAATGAGGGTGTATACACTTTAACACGCTGAAAATGTGCTTCATCGAAATATTGGTTCTAGACCCCATGTTTCTTTGGACCAAATCCGTTTCAGAAAATTTAGATTTCATCCGAACTTTGCCCATCTTATTATTTCTTCCAAGCTTAGTTCAAATTCGAAGATGGGGAATATTGGTCCACTCCTTGTGGAACCTCCAATCAGGGTCTAGGTCTAAATGCGGCTATAGTTCATTATCGAACCTTACGTTATAATTGTTTATCTCTCTATCCTCCGCAGGTGAAATGATTACAAAAGAGTCTTAGAACCAAACTCAAAACGCGGAACAAATCAGATAACTATCTTAATATAAAAAAGGGGGTTATATGGGGACTACCCCAAAAAGGGGACGAATATTAATAATTTTTGGTAGAGGGATTTGTTACCATATACGACTACAAATTACCAAATTGCAGCAAATTCGGTTGAAAAATGCGCTCAAGAACCCCCAAATACCGAAAATTGGGGGTACCCTTATATGGGGGCTATCCGAAAAAATGGACCTATATTCATAATTTTTTGTGGAGAGATTTGGAACCTATTAAAAACCCAATGTACCAAATTTCAGCGTATTCGGTTGAAAAACGCGCTCAAGAACCCCAAATACCGAAAATTGGGGGTACCCTTATATGGGGGATATCCGAAAAAATTGACCTATATTTATAATTTTATGTGGAGAGATTTGGTACCCATTAAAAACTCGAAATACTAAATTACAGCCAATTCGGTAGAAAAATACGATCAAAACCCCCAAAATGCTGTATATTAGGAGGTACCGTTATATGGGGGCTACCAGAAAAAGTGGACCTATATTTACATTTAGTACCCAATAAGAACCCACTGTACCAAATTTCAGCGTATTCGGTTGAAAAACGCGCCCAAGAACCTCAAAATACCGAAAATTGGGGGGTACTGTTATATGGGAGCTATGTCTAAATGTGGACCGATATATCCCATCTTCGAACTTGACCTGCCTGCAGACAAAAGACAACCCTATGCAAAATTTCAGCATCCTATCTCAATTCCTTCAGAAGATAGCAGACGGACGGACAGACGGACGGACGGACATGGTTAGATCGTCTTATAATTTTACCCTGATCAAGAAAATATATATACTTTATAGGGTCGGAAATGAATATTTCGATGAGTTACAAACGGAATGGCAAAATTAATATACCCTCCATACTATGGTGGAGGGTATAAAAAAATCTATGAACCAAGATAGGTTTTTTATAGGATTTTTTTTTTTTTGGTTAATATAATTGGTATTGTTTTTCCAACAAATTGACTGTAATTTAGTATTTTCAGTTCTCACTGGCTATTTACACGTTTCAAAAATTATCAGGATAGCCCCCATATGACAGCACTTCTCAAATTTCGCTATTTTGCCCAAATTTTAATTTATTTTTAATTATTTTTTTTTTATTACTTTTAACTTATCCACCTCATGGTGGAGGGTATAACATGTTTGGCCCGGTCGAACTTAATGAAGATTTTTTTTGTTTAAAATTAATTTCCATTTAATTTATACTTCATTTATAGCTCGCATATAAATTTTCGACCGATTTAATGTAAACGGTGTGCCAAAGTCCTTATATATCGTTCTATTTGCACCAAATTCGGCACAGCCTAATCAATTAGGTCTAGAATGATGTGTCTTAAGTTTCCTTAAAATCGCTTCAGATTTAGATATAGCTCCCATATATATTTTCGTCCGATTTAATGTAAATGGTGCGCAAAAGACCCTGAGGTAGTGAATCACGTGGATTTTTTAGAGAATTTTTTGTTTCAATGACTTTTTAAAGAAAAAATTTTTCAAGGTCGTGGAATTTAAAAAAAAATATTTATAACCTACACAACTATTTTGTCAGGATATTATAGATTTGTGCAGCCACAAGAGTTTGTAACGCCGCGAAATATTGGGCATACACCCACTTTAGGTATAGCGATCGTCATATCTCGACTAGCTGAGTTGATCTAGCCATGTGTATCCGTCCATCCCTCTGTCTGTCCATTATATTTTGTAAACACGGTACAGGCCACAGTTATGAACCAATCTTTACGAAATTTTGCATGTAGGATGGTTTCTGGTCAATGAAGACCCCTAGGCCCAAACATGGAGAAGGGGAACGGGCGAAGAAAAAGCATACCTGTTTCGATAAAGATGGATCAATACGTTTGTGTGAAAAATAACGACGTTTGTGTGAAAAAGAACGTAATTTGTATTCAAGGGTGTTTATATTTACTCCTGGAGACATTGACCCTAGAAGTTCAAAATATATCAAAGAGGAGTGGTTGGCCTTTAAATTGATACCAATTCGTTGAGTTATACGTAAATATTTAAAGGTTTTCGTGTGTTATGATATTGTTTAGTATTTTACTACTAAACAATCAGTGGAAGTGCGCTGATCGCTTCGAATTTATCCATGAAGTTGCGGATGTGGTCAAGGACTATACACATAATATTCGAAGAGGATGCTACAATATTTAGAGGGTGCAATGAAATAAAAACTTTATTCTTATTAGATTTCCTAGTCGCTCTAGAGACCATTTTTATATACAGAACGTCGCAATATTCGGAGGATCAAATCAACCAAAAGCTAAAGTGGGTTTGGGTTCTTACAATTTAATATTCTTTTAATTCAAAATTAATAACAATATAAATTAAATTCCTATTTATTTCTTATTTATATTAAGTTAGCTTTATGTTATTTCCATTTAAATTTAAATTTCAGTTTACTTTAAAATTAAATTCGATAAAATTCTAGATAAAATTGCAATTACTTTTGTTCATATTCTTTTATTGTGAATATTTGCTTAATATTACTTTAGTTATTTGTATCTTGTTTTGAATTATTATTATTAATTTGTTTTTACTTATATTATTATGCTATGTTTTCCTTAAAAAAATTTAATTTGTTATTTTCACATTTCAGTAGACAATTCAGAAAACATAATGTAAATATTTCAAATAAATGTTGACATTGCCAAAAATTTGTTTCTCATTTTTTTATTTGTTTTCCTCTGAAATTACCAGCATCTAACGTTGATGCTTCAATTTTCATGTTAGCGTTGGGTTTTTCGACATTTTTTGTGCATTGTTTAATTTGAATGCCAAAAACTATCATCATGTTTTGTTATTAACATCAGTTCACTCGGGGTGTTTTTTTTTGTGGTGTCAGCGCGAGAATAAAATCGCGACAGCAACAACAACAAAACATGAGATAAAGAAAAGGATTAACAACTAAATGAGTGAACAAATTTTGTGTATGTGTGTGTGTGCTGTCACAAAAATAGCCTTGACACAAAAACACGACGTCGAGTAAAAAAATGAAAATTTTAA